TTTTATAAAAGTGTATACCTTTCTTGAAAGCATTGGCTTTTTCTACCGATTTCAATCTGGTTTTCGTTCTGGTGACTCTACTGTTATGCAATTGGTTTACATAGTCAACAAAATATATGATTGTTTAGATAGAGGAAATGAGGTACGAGCTGTATTTCTAGATATATCAAAAGCACTTGATAAGGTTTGGCATGCTGGACTATTAGCAAAAATGAAAAATCTTGGTGTAGAAGGTACCTTATTAAATTGGTTTGAATCATATCTTAAAAGTCGGCAGCAACGAGTAGTTATTGAAGGCAGTAGCTCATCTTGGAAAGAAGTTAACGCAGGAGTGCCTCAAGGATCTGTTCTGGGCCCGCTTCTGTTTTTAATATATGTTAATGATATTCAACATGATATTGATAGTGACGGCTTTCTTTTTGCCGATGATACTATGCTATTGCAGGAAGTATTCTCACCACAATCTGCGGCTCACTCTTTGAATAAAGACTTAAATTCTATTTCACTGTGGTCTAGTAAATGGTTAGTCACAATGAACGCTTCCAAAACAAAGAGTATGACTTTCTCCCTGAAAAAAAACAAACCTGATCATCCTATTTTGAAGCTAAGTGAAAAGCCAATTGAAGAAGTAAGTTGCCACGAGCATTTGGGTGTCCTACTTTCCAGTAATATGTCTTGGAAAGTTCATATTGAAAAAAATCACCAAAATGCTTCAAAGACCCTTAACCTATTGAAAGGCTTTAAATTTAAATTGCCTAGATTAACCTTATAAATTTTGTATAAATCCTTGTTCGCTCTAAGATGGAATATGCTAATGTTATTTGGGATGGGTGTACAATAGGTGAATCGGACCTGCTCGAAAGTGTTCAGTATGATGCAGCAAAATTAATTTCTGGAGCAATGAAAGGTACACACAGAGAAAGTGTGTTGATTGATTGCGGGTTGCATACGTTAAATAACCGGAGAAAAATTCAAAAGTTGCTATTATTGTACAAAATGGTTAAAGGTTTAGCTCCAAGTTATTTGTCGGATCTTTGTCCTGTTTATGTAAGCCAAAGAACTACATATAGGCTTCGGACTAGGAATGATTTAAGTTTACCTTTCATTCGCACCGAGAAAGCAAAAAAATCCTTTTTGTATTCTACAATTTTTTTATGGAATAATCTTTCTGAATCCACGAGAGAATCTGCAACATTTGTTCTCTTTAAAACTGCTTTATTACGTGAACGATTTTATATACCTCCTGTCAATAGATTGGTTTATTTGGGTGACCGGTATTTTTCGGCCTTACACACAAGATTGAGACTAAACAATTGTGGTCTTAATTATTATCTTTTTTCAATGAACTGTGTTCTATCTCCATCTTGTACCTGTGGTGCACTTAGTGAAGATGTAACTCATTATTTATTATTTTGCCCTCGCTTTGCTGCTCTGCGTTCTTCGATGCTTACCTCTGTCATGCGCCTTGCTGGAAATGTATGGAACGTTTTGAATATTTCTCAACAAGTGGACATTCTATTACATGTGTAATATATGCGAATCAGACAACAACGATACAAAACCAGACTTTTCTATTACTCTTTTACACGCTAGAATATCACACAATAACAATTCTAATGTCCCTGTCTCATATTACTAATGTCCTAATACCTTGCCAATTACCCCTTTGACACTTGATACCTATTATTATTATTATAGTCATACATATTACACAATCCCCCTCTCTAATTGAGAGCGTCCTCGATCTCTACCTCATCTAGGTTATAGTCCTGATATCTGTCCGGTTGTCTACGCCGACGGGTGGACCTTCGTAGCGTGTTAGTCCTCTCTTGGTGGGCAGGCTGCACGACTAAATTCTCTTGATGATGAATCGTCGGTTCGTTGGTCTGCAATGCGGTATGTTGGGTTTCTTTCGGGGAGCACGTGGACATGCCTTCCTCCACTCTTGGTCGGCAAGGAACTGATTTCAGACGATTGCGGTAGACCACTTTGGATTTCCGATTTCCTGATTCGGGCTTAATGTGGTAATTTGTGCCACCAAGACGATTTAGGGCCATGTAAGGCCCGGACCATTGTAGGTGTAACTTTCGACTAAGCCTTCTTGGAACCGCTGTGTCGTTGAGCCAAACCCGATCTCCCACCTTAAGTGGCGTGCTTTTGTCAATGTTGTTGCGATCATCGTATCCCTTTTCCTGCTTCCTCTGTGCCTCACTAATCTTTTCTTTCACAAAGCGTTGCACGTCCTTCAGGGACTTCTCTAACTCATCGCAGTAGTTCGAGATAAACTGTTCCTTTGCCTCTGTCTGGATGCCCATCAGCACTAACGGTGTGCTGGCTTCACGACCATAAACCGCTCTAAACGGTGAAACTTCTGACGATGAATGTACGCAGTTGCGGTAAGCAAACAAGGCGAGAGGTAAATGAACGTCCCAATAAGTGTGGTCTTTATTCACGTACGCTGTGAGGATTCCCTTCAAGGTCCGGTTTAACCTTTCGACCTGCCCATCAGTTTGTGGGTGATACGGCGAAGTTCGAAATTTTTCCACCCCAAGAAGATGCAACACCTGCCGCATGAGCTCTGCTTCAAAGTTCCTCCCTTGATCTGTTAGAATTTTACGAGGAACACCGTGTCGAGTCACAACTACGTCAACAAAAGCTTTCGCTACGGTATCGGCTCTTTGGTGGGCTAGCGGCACCGCCTCTACCCACTTGGTAAAGTGGTCAGACATCACCAAGATGTATTGATTTCCCCGTGCAGTTAGAGGAAGTGGGCCCAAGATATCCATTGCCCATAATTCCAATGGGTGACCAACATCTATGCTTTTCATGGGTGATTTACGGGGCGACACTGGAGACTTGCGGCGGTCGCACATTTCACATTCTGCGACCCACAGTTGCACTTCTGAGGCCATTACAGGCCAGTAATATTGTTGTTGCAGACGCTCAAGGCAACGATTAACTCCAATATGCCCGGAGCAAGGGTCGTTATGGGAAAGCTTTAAAAGGTCGGGACGCATTTTACGTGGGACCACCCTTCTCATCTCCATTTCCGGCCATAACTGCCTGTAGCGACGTTGCTCTCCGTTATCATTCCAACCATCCTCGTCTTTCTTTGGTGCTGTGTTAGTACAACGTAGCTTCTGCACTACCAAGAAAATGCTTAGATCGTCCTGTTGCGCCTTGATTATCTCTTCCTTTGGCCACGATGCATTCACTTCCGTGGCTGCTACTCCGACCATCAGGTCCTCATCGGGGCTCCAATCCGGCACAAGAGCGGGTGACACTCGAGGGAACCTGGAAAGTGTATCTGCGTTGTCGTGCTGTTTCCCCGGCCGATGTTTAATTTCGAACTCGTACTCCTGCAAAGCGAGTATCCACCGAGCAAGACGGCCTTTAGGTTCCTTTAGCCCCTGCAACCATGTCAAACTCTGATGGTCCGTTACAATGTCGAACGCTTTACCGAACAAATATGGCCGCCAATAGTTTACTGTCCATACGATGGCCAAACACCCTTTCTCTGTCGTCGAGTAATTTCTTTCTGCTGGCGTCAGTGTTCGACTGGCGTACGCGATCACACATTCATGTTCACCTATTCGTTGCGACAAGACAGCACTGAGTCCGTAATCGTTGGCATCCGTATATATAATGAAAGGAACTGAAAAGTCCGGCAACGATAGGATTGGTGCAGCACAAATTAAGCTCATTGAACGACTTGTCCGCTAACAGCGTCCAGTTGAACTCTGGCTGACTACTTTTAGTCATGTCATGCAAGGGCGTAGCGATGTCCGCGAAATTCTTTATAAATCTTCGATAGTAAGATGCCATACCGATGAATGCACGAACCTCGGTAAGGGAAGATGGGGTTGCAAAGTCTCGCACCGCCTCAACCTTCGATGGGTCAGGCTCGGTCCCTCTCGCCGATACGATATGCCCAAGAAACTTAACTGACTCTTGCGCGAACTGGCACTTTTCCCGCTTTACTTTCAACCCAGCAGCGCGAATACGACTAAATACTTCTTTCAAAATTAGCTGGTGTTCCTCCCACGTCTCGGAAAAGATGATTATGTCGTCGATGAAAACAAGGCACCCCTTTATCCCCTTCAAGACGTTCCCCATCATGCGCTGAAACGTGGCGGAAGCGTTGGTTAAACCGAAAGGCATCACCGTGAATTCGCAGTGGTCTACTCCCACCGAAAATGCAGTCTTCTCCCTATCTTCCTCTCTTAACGGTACCTGCCAATACCCGGAAGCGAGATCTAGGGTACTGAAGTAATGTGCACCCCCCAACTGGTCTAGAATGTCGCCGATACGGGGCATTGGCTGAGCGTCCTTCTTTGTTACGGAATTAACACGTCGAAAGTCACGGCAAAACCGGTAATCACCGTCTTTCTTCGGAGCTAGCACGATTGGCGAGGACCGACGACTGTTACCAGGTTGAATTAAACCTCTGTCTCAATCTCGTTCCCCGAGCCAGCGATCCTTGGGAAGGAAACGAAGGCTCTGGGATAATCCATCTCAGAAATTAATATGATTGGTTGCTGGTATACAATGGAATGTTGCAATTTTGCAAAAATTAATTTTTAACCGTATATTCTTATATACAACATGGCGGCCGTTTAGGAGTGTACGAATATTGTTTTGGTTTTTCAGAGCTGTGCTATATACTAATACTACAAAGGAAATGCAAAGAAACGTATACCTAATGCGTATAATATCACAACAGTTAAATGGAGCGGGAAAACATTACTCATATTTGTGTTGTACAGGTTTTCTGTAGTTTTAATCTATACATAGTATACAGTACTGTCAGTACACTGTACTATTTGACTATAATATCAAATATGTGCTATATTTTGCAAATACTATTTGTGTCAGAAATGGTTAATAACTTTTATTAATTTGTTTTTGTGTTATTTAATTGCGAAGAACTAGCTAATAACTAGTTTCAATAAATCCAATTTGGGGATTTACTGTTATATATTTTATTATTTAATGTATATACTGTACTTTAACTTGTAGCATGTAACCCTTCCCTATATGGGTGCATATGAATCTTTTGCTGTTATAATTTATTTATAGAAGAGTTCAAAAAACCTTTATTCTCTAAATAAACCACAATTTCACAGGCAGTGATATTAACTTGTATTCCAGGCTGCATACACCTATTGCACCTATCAATGTTAACCCCCAGAGGGGGGAGGGGGTTGGGGGTTGGGCATATGTGGGGTATTTGATCATCAATTGCATCCCCACCCTGAGGATTTTGAATAGCATTTTGGCCCCGAGTTGGGGCAATTTGAACCGAATGACTTTTATTAACATAGTATTTATTGCAATTTATTGCAAAATGGTGCGGCATTTGACCAATATTCATTGCCCGACGGTGGGGCATTTGATTGAAAATTTGCTCTTTGCTTTGGGGCTTAACATCAATAGGTGCACAATAATATAATGAATTCTCGGGTTTCACTATGGCATTTTGCACATTCTGTTATTGGTTCTGACAGGGGGTCAACCTAAAAAATGTATTGATGCTTATGTTGTACTGGAGTGAGCAAATGATATGAAATTGCATGTATTTGCTCAGTGATTCATCACAAAGGCATAGACAAAGGCTCTCGATAAGCTTAAAATTGGAAAATTGATCACTTTTTTCGATTACAAATGGAACAAGAACAGACTGTTTATTGTTTACTTGAAGGAAGACATGTTTTTGCCTTTATGCCAATGGGGATTGCTTGTCGTGAGGTGTTGGAATAGCAACATTACGACTGGGGTAAACTATAGTAACCTTTACTTGAGTTTCATTAATTTCAAACAGACTTCAGTTGATACGTTATGTGTTCTCACTTCCTCAAGAAAATTATCTTTTGGTGATGTTGAGATGCAGTTGCATGTAAGAACTGTAAGCCTATTCGAAACACTTTGCGATTTACAAGGCTTCGCAGAGAGAGCGAAACAGAAGGCGGTATTAAATTGCCGTTTGAAACGAAACGATCTGGACTCGGAACGCTCTCTTCTTATGTAGAGTTCTTTACCAAATGAAATAAATTTCGTACTTTTCGCCGCCAACAAGAATTGCACACACGATCTGATAAGTGAGACAATTTATTTATAACAATGCCAATGGCGACAGCGAATAATATAAATCCTAATGTGGTCGCCCGACCTCCCTCATGATTTGAGGTTTGAGACTGGTTTTCTGTTGAAATTCGTCCTAATTTGCCTGTTCCGATTTTAGTTGAAAATGACTGCGTTGCTTGCTTTTTTGGAGTTAAAACCAGGTTAAAACGCAGCCATTGACACATTGTTTATTAGTGTTCTGAATAAGCAGAGAAAACCCCGCAACATTTTAATGCGAGTTTGTTTGTTAATATTTGGTACAGTTTTGTAATTATTTAGTACAGTAGTTAGCTAATTAATGGCAGTAATCAACATGAAGTCAACTACATTTTTGACCATTGTTGAGAAATATTGTCCAGAAGTACAGTGAAATAACAAAATAGGGTGCACTAAAGAGCATTGTGACTTAATGATCTAATGAGATAATTAACCAAAGATAGGTAGACATGCAGATGGATAGCCTGCACGCAGACTATATAATGACATAATTATATATACATCATTATATAGTCTGCGCGCAGGCTAGCAGATGGACAGGTCAATTTAATTTAATTTAACCCATTCAAATAATTCTGGCGTTAAACAGCTTAAAATAACAAAGTAAGGCAAACTGAGGCACATTGCAGCTTAACTTGCTCCAACTCTATCATTACAAACTGTAAATCTTTAATTAATATAGTAATTCCTATCCAGACACAAAATTTGGTTATAATTCAATAATTTGAAAAGCGCTGTTGCATCCCTAACCTACTAAACTACTTGCAAATATTAAAACATATAATGAAAGCTATAAGGGCAGTTAAGGATTTGGTTTATAAACTGTTAATTTCTAGAGATGATATTAAACACAATACAAACATGGAATTCACTATATTCATATTTTTAATGATATGTTTATAAGTCTAAATTCCTTTTAATATTCCTACAAATCTTCTGAAAACTTTAATGTTATCAAGGTTTAAAACCAACTTAATACTAGAATTGAGACTCTCTTCAGGTATTTTAATACTACAGTAGCAATTAACACACAGTACATTGTTTTTGTTCTTAAAAATTGCTCTTTCTACGCGCTCTTTCAACCATTAGAAACATAATAGCGTTAAACGGCTAAATTATGCTGGAGGAACCACAAATGTCTCTACATTTAAAGCTTTTTCAAACTGACACAGAGGTGAATGGACAAGATTACAATTAATTGTGACATTTTTCTTCGACAACAGCACTCTTCGCGGCTCCTGCCGGCTCTATACTGACCCTATTTCACACGCAATATTTTCCTTATTCAGTCGCTAACACACCTTTTGTATCCCACTATGAAGAACATCAACATTTCCGCCAAAACCCCGAAAAAATCATCATTTTATGACGAAACAATAAAATATTTCAAACAATTTGTTTTGCTTTTGCCAACGCATGCGCAGTTCGGTCGACATACAGTTTTCTGTATGTCTGAGATGGATTATCCCAGAGCCTTCGTTTCCTTCCCAAGGATCGCAGGCTCGGCGAACGAGATTGCCTCTGTCTAACATATCATTTACCTGATTGTTCACCACTTTGTTGAGATGAGCGGGAATCCGATAGGGCCTTTGCTTCACTGGGCGACTATCCCCTGTATCAATCGCGTGTTCCGTCCTGGTAGTTAAGCCTAAGGGATCGCTCGGCTCGTTTACAAAAATGTCTGAATAAATTTCGAGCAGAACACTTGGCTTGTTCACAGTTGGGGAAGTTGTCTCAACGATTAATTCTGCTTCCCCTGTCTTCCACGAAAGCTTCGAGTTCGCTATGTCCACAACCATTCCCCCCGATTTTAAGAAATCGGCCCCCAAAATGCAAGTGTTTCTCATACCTACGACCAGAAACTGATGGGAGACCTTCGACATCCCAAGGCAAACATGCAAGTCTGTTGATCCCAACACATGTAGGTCCTCCCCGCCTATCCCTCCTGCCCTCAAAGAACATGGCTTTAAGGGTCCACCAATAAATTCTCTGCTGACTAACGACACCGTTGCACCTGTGTCCACTAAACATTTTCGCTCATGGTCGCCCAATCGTGCCTTTACGAAGACTGCCGTGGGCTGAACACAGTTTATGGGCAAGGCCGCATTATCCTGGGCTGACCTCCGGCCTAGAAACGGGTCGGCCCCTGGTCGTTTCCCTGACGTGGTTGGCTATTAATGGAGGACTGGAATCGAAACTGGCATGCCCGCGCGAAGTGTCCCATCTGTCGACAAACAAAGCAGTAATTTTCAGTTTGGCGCTGTCGATAATTCATTCGTCGCCCGTTCCCGGACGTACTCCTACATTCGCTGGCGATGTGACCCATTCGCCCACATTGATAACAAGGGCCCCGGCGCCCGGCGGGGGAATTTCGCACAGACGCTGCGTTTACGTTAGCAACAGATTGAGATAATTCACTAACCTTCCTCGTAAGAATATCTACACTTTCCATCAATTGCATAACCAAGGGCGACTCTACTACCGTTTGATTCGTGCCACCGCTCGTATTCATTTCGTTAACCGATTGACTCGATGAAGTCTGACACGCTAAATCCAGCTGTTGCCCCGACGTAACTGTCTCCTCGTACGAGAGGGTCGGTCGTTGTAATAATTGTCTCTTTAGTTCTATAGACACTTCTTCGACAAATTGTTGCTTGAGAAGTGTTTCTCTGTCGCCCTTCTCGATGTTTGGCATCGCGCGACTTAATAGCGCTTCTACATTGTAGGCGAATACTTGGATGTCTTCGTCTCGCTTTCTCATTCGGCTGCGAAATGTCACAAAGTCAAAAAATTTCACAAAGTCAAAGCAAAAATTTAAATCTCACTTATATTATTAAGAATGCATTTACAGAAAAAAATTAAAGCTTATTCATGTCAAAACGAAAGCTGTTTACAAAATTTATAAAGGTGGTGAACACTACTAAACAGTACTCGTTGAAAGACATGTATAATATAGTGACATATAATTTGTCGTTTGACTTATCTTTGGTGTATGATTTTAATACTGTAGATTTTCAACAGACAGCTATACTTTGACATATACCATGATCGTTGGTTTCAGCAATGCCAAGGGCCAATTTTATAGTGTTTTGACGGGCTTTAAGTTTTTTTGATAAGGCCTTTATATAGATCAACAATTAATCTGAATACAGTTGGCGACATTTCGGAAATCAAAAGATCTCGCTATTTCGTTGCAATTTCACATCTCATCAATAAATAAATTCTTTTGGTCCGTGTATCAGGATAGATATTAATACTAAATAAATAACAACCACACTGTTCGGTCTAGAGATCTATATTTTGGCAAGTCTATAAGTTGAATATTGAAATCTGATCCAACTTGCTTGAATTGTAACTCGACACCAGATTATAGAGTAGAGCGTCACGATATAAATATTAATTTAAGAGTTCTCTTTACGATTTCTTGTTGCAAATTTACAATAAATTTCATCACCCAAAGTTGCAATTTTAAAACGCTACAAACACGCTCCTTTCCCACACCTCTCACAGTTACAATTAAATTTACCTCCCAGAATCTGGGAGGCACGTGACCACCGCAGCCAGGGTCTCTCCCACTGAGCTATACTTATATATCTGGAGATCGTGCTCTCGACGAAAGTGTGTAGCCAAAAACATGGCGGATTTGACGTCACAATCGACCTATTTTCATGGGGGTCTCCACTGACCCGTGGCTCGAATGTTCGTGGGCGACAAAGTTCACCCCCCCCCCCTGGATTTTACAGTGATTTTGTATGTTTATATTAGTTGATCAACAGAGAGTATAGTCGCGTTCCTTTTGTTCAATCCAGAAAAGGATTTTGAAATCAGATTTAAGATTAACTGTTCCATTTCTGAAAATCCTAAACTGGATTCGAATCCAAACAATCTGTTGAGAGACGTGGATTTTTTGGATTCAATCATAAACCAGATCATAATTTTCCCGTTCCTTTTGCATTGTTGGAGCTTTTCTGATCTGATTCGCAGTGCGTCATGGGATCTTCGTCCTCCTCGCGGGTGGACCGCCCGCCATTCAGGCTAAGGATTGCTGGCAAAAGGGCGCGAAAATGGAGGCGAAAGAAACAGAAGGTACTGTACGTGTTTACAAAAAATAACATACAATAATTCAACTTAATTTTCACCTTTTCCGAGGTTTAGGTTACCAAAAACAAACAAGCAAACTAATAACTAAATTTCCTTACTTTTTTAAACGCTTTAGAAGCACCGGTGTACTTGACAGTTGGAAGCATATCTGAAGAATTATGTGAAAACCCTAAATGCCGTCAGACCAAACACAAGGACCAAACACAAGGCCAACACA